AAAAAAAAAAAAAAAAAAAAAAAAACAGAAAAACGGCCGATGCCACATCTCTACTCAATTGGCATTTTTTTCTGTTTCAAAAACAGAAAAAGAACTTGGACCATTTCTCGAGTCTTTCATTTTTCGCTTTTTAAATCCTTTCGCAGGGGCCATGCTAACGGATGTCCCGAGGGGTCATGCTAACTGATCATCAGCTTAATATCTGATCCGTGGTCCATCGGCGAAGGAAAAAAAAAAAAAAAAAAAAAAAAAACAATCGTGACTCATCATCCTACTAGGGCGCGGCCATGTTAATTACAGCAGTAATCTCTTCTCTGCAAATCGTTCCCATTTCGATTCGACGGATGTCCCTCCGAACGATTTTACCCTTTTTTCTACCACGGTAACTCTTCCACATTCCCCCCTGCAACAAACCATCCGGCCCACGTAATTCCCAGCTATTTTCCTCTTTCATCTGTTTCTACAGCGACTAATGCGGCTAATAACATGGCAGCATTACTGCCAAAACAAGATTATTATTATTATTTTTTCTTTTTTTCTTTTTTTAACAAGAGGATTGATTGCACGGTTGTCGGATCATAAAAACATTGTCCGTTTTCCACATTTTTTTTTTTTTTTTCGAGATTTGCGCGTACGCGTGCCCCCGATACCAGAAATATTACCGTAGTAACACCTCCGTGGGTGTGACTTAGGCCAGGCGAATCCCAAAGTGCAATGGGAGCCCTGCAACCTAGGCCATCCGCCTTCTTGATCACGGATAGGCCCTGGCCAGGTAAGTATCGTTTTTCCACAATTCGTTCAGGGGTATTATACCATTCAGCCACGTGGGCTACGGTCTTCACCCGAATCGAACGCCCGGTGATTGCACCTGTATTCGGGGCAACTTCGAGACCAGATGCAGTGGCAATGACCGGGCGTTTTATTCGGGTGAGAAGATGGCGGCTCGGTGTATTTCATTCTTTCTTCTTCGTCATCGATGTTGGGCAAACCCTACCGCGCACCGGTAGTCGATGGATCTCGTTCCACTACTCACCACCTGCACAAAAGACAAAAAATAAAGCAGTGTATCTTCCCATATCCTGTCGGAAGATTCATTCTCATTTTGCACATTTGGTGAGCAGTGCAGCGAGGCCCCCCCTATATCGCGCTTTCTCTTTCTCTTTGCAGTTTATCCATGCCTACTCACGAGTAGGCATCCGTAACCTATACGTATGATTGATCGTGCATGTGCACACTCCTCTCATATAAGTGGGTTTTCACCCTTCTTTCCTCACCCCTCCCCCCCCCGTCTCTTATACACATCTAGATGTGTATAAGAGACAGCGCTTTCTCTTTCTCTTTGCAGTTTATCCATGCCTACTCACGAGTAGGCATCCGTAACCTATACGTATGATTGATCGTGCATGTGCACACTCCTCTCATATAAGTGGGTTTTCACCCTTCTTTCCTCACCCCTCCCCCCCCCCCCACCCCCTCCCCCCCTCCCCCTTTCCACGTTCCTATTATGGGTTGCAATCTTGAGTGTAGGCAGGTTATATCCCGACCAACGAACCTCCCATTCTTCAAATATAGAAGTGTTTCGACGAAGTGCCTCCGGCCATGCCTCCGCTCCCTTCTCCCCTTCACTGGACACCGCCTGCTGCATTCTATCTCCCACGGCGGGGGTAGCCAATTCCGCCCCCCCTTGCCGGTCAACGACATCGGCCATGGCTGTCTAGAATATGCGCACTCACTCACTATCACAACAACCACGTGTGATTCGGGAATGACTGCAGCAGCCGTAAAGGGCGCGTAGGTGGTGAATTAGGCGCGAAGTAAGAAAAGAAAAGGAAAAAGAAATAGGCGCGAAGCAGTGAAACTTAGGCTCGCTCAACTGGTGGGGGGAACAAAAAAGAAAGGAAAAGGAATGAGCACTCGCACAAGTGGGCACGCAGTGGCGGGAAATGCGATCGCGTGGCGGCCAATTGGCCGGATATTATATCGCGAGGTGGGCAATTCAAAGAGCGTTAACTTTTCTGCGTAAAACACACACGCAAGCGACCTGAATCCCCCAGGCGACCCGACGCGTGTGCTCAAGCGCCGGCGCTGACGTTTTCAGGGGTAGGGGAGGCACTTTTTTTTTTTTTTTTTTTTTTTTTTTTCAAAACAATGGGCCCAGTGCCCAAGGCTTATATAATCAAAGCGAAACGAGGCCGGGGTCCTCACAGTCTACCCGGAAAAGAGAACTTATGGGAGCATTACCCAGCTTCGCTTTAAAAATGTAACACTCTACTGCCTAAAATCAAGCACAATTGTTGAAACTTATGTACAAGGCCTCCCAGCCCGTAGGCAGTCATAAAATAGTGAAGGAGGCACTTTTAGGGAATTTTCGGGATCCCACTTCTTTCCACGCAATGCGGAGGGGCCCCTTGAGAGTTGTAGAGGCTGGATTACAGACATATGAGAGTCACCTTCGGCACTCTGCCATGTGGTAGTCCTATAGGATTAGGGGCCCATCTTTTTTCAAGGAAGTTGAAACATCCCGGCAGTGGGGCACAAGCCCAAAGAATAGCCTCGCCGCCAAAGAGCCCCGGGACGTGGCATGCGGGGCACTTCTGCGGCGAGGCTATTCTTTCGTGCCACTGGCATGCGGGGCGCTTTGGCAGTGAGGCTATTCTTTTTTTTTTTTTTTTTTTTTTTTTTTTTTTTTGAACCATATTCAAATTCATTTCAAAGAACCATGCAAGGAGGCCGGGGACCTCACAATTCAACCCGGAGTTATCTCGGCAGCATCAGTCGGTTTCGCTTACAGCCATCAGGGCTGGGATTTAAAAACATAGGAACCTAACCTTTCCAATCAATCACCCTCATACTGATATCACTGCTACGAACACTAACATCACTCCAAGCTAAAACAAACCAGACACTGTTTGCCTATACTTCTACTGTGAATTGAGGCCTAAACCTACCAGACTACTTACAGAACCTCTACTATTATACACAGGCCTATACGGCCTGACACCCGCTTAAAATGACCGGTTGGAACTCAAGGTTCCTGGGAACCGTGGTACTCTCGTAGACATTCCAGCCTACTCCATTAACTAAACCTGTCAGCCACTTGGAGACTATCAATCCACGTGAGGTGTGAACTCCTGCCAGCTGGTTACCCTTGGCCCAAGAGCGCAGAAACCACCAAAGTCGTTGTCTGGAGCCCTTCCCTCACTTAGCCTTCTTCCTCCAGTCTGCCCACAGCGCCCTTCTCAGGCCTCGCTTTATCGCTGCCTGGATCTCTCGATCAGAGAATGGTCTCCTCTCGAATCTAGACCGGTTCCTATCCGCCCAGATAACTGAGCAGATCACTTCCCTTGTTACCTGGGTTACGTAGGGTCAACCCTTCGTCCCTGGATGTTCCTCCTGCACCAATCCTAGCAGAACCCAACGTTCATCCCACTCAATGCCACCTCCCCCCAGTCTGTTCCAATGGTCTTCCCACCATTTTCAAACCCTCTTAGAAGTCGGGCAGTCCCACCACAAATGCCTGGTCGACTCGAAAGGCTAGGAGCATCTAGAGCACCGCGGGGGAATCTTCATCCCTCTACTGCATAGCCACACGGCCGAGGGCGTGACCAGCAGTAACAACATCCAGAGGAGACTCGAGAGCCACAAATCTGGTAGGATATGGAGAACTGTCTACAGTTTTTCGAAATCCCCTTCTTTCCCTTGCAGATCATCCGTGAATACAGTACTCCATCTGGATACCGCCACACTTGTCGGGGTCCTGCTCCTGCGTTCTGCCAAAGCATATGACTGTCGAACCGAGAAGGTTGACAAATCCATCTTCTGAGAGAAGGTTAACGACAGTCGTACTTTTCATCACCACTTTAGGACACCCTTCACCACTTCAGGATGCAACCTGCCTAAACAGGTGGTTTTCAGGGTCTTCGGATCTTTCACCACTTCATGACTATTCATGTATGAAAATCATGAATGGTCCTGAAGTGGTGAAAGCGAATCCAATTCAAGGGGACTTCTGTCAGTGGGAGACCCTGAATACGTGGGTGTCTGCGAATTCGATTCAAGGGGACTTCGAGTTGGAGGACAAACAAAAGAGGGGTCAGTGAACAACCCTGATGCAGGGACCGAGAGAGCTGAAAGGGGCGCGATAGATGACCGTTGATCTGAACCGCAGAGGTTGCCAAAGTGTACATCACCACAACCCATCTGCAGAAGCCTTGACCAAACCCCATCTTTCTGAGGGTTGTCAAGACAAATGACCAACCTACCCTGTCGTAGGCTTTCTCCATGTCCAACAGTAACACCGCCATGTTCAGATTGTCCGCATGAATAACCTCAATGCACTCAATGGCTGTGAGTATATTAACAACGATCGAGCGCCCCTGGACGAATGCTCCCTGGTCCTTCTCCACGAGCTTCGGGAGGATCAACCCCAACCGCAGTGTCAAGGTCTTCGCTAGCAATTTGTAGCTCACATCGAGAACGGAGATCGGCCGATAATTACGAATATTCGCCTTGTCCCCCTTTTTGAACATGGCCGAAATCACCCTATGTGGCATCGGCTCTCCCAACTTGCCTCCCTCCAACACCTCATTGTACACCCCCACCAACGCTGGTCCCAAGGCCCCTCAGCATGCCCTATAGAACTCCACTGTAAGCCCATCCCGTCCTGGGCACTTCCCTGATGCCATCATCTTCAAGGTCTGCTTCAGCTCATCCTCTGTGACCGGTCTATCTAACGCCAACTTGTCTAACTCAGCCAGGGTGACCGCTGTGTCTTCCCACATATCCAGCTCTTCCGACAGATCAGTCTCTAATGTATCCTAGTTTCTTCTCGACGTCAGGATATCTACATAGTAGAGCCTTGCATACTCAAGCATCTCTATTTGCGTAGTGGCAAGAGGGACTCCTGGTTTGCCTAAGACATTGAAATGAGGCTGAAGATGAGGTCCTCCTGACTCATTCGGTCGCTTTGCTCGTTTGCCTAAGATATTGAAATGAGGTTGGAGATATGGTCCTCCTGACTGATCCGGTCACTTTGTTCGTTTGCCTAAGACATTGAAATGAGGCCGGAGATGAGATCCTTATGACTGATCCGGTTGCTTTGCTTGTTTGCCTAAGACATTGAAATTGGGTTAGAGATGAGGTCCTCTTGTCTGATCCGGTCGCTTTACTTGTTTGCCTAAGACATTGAAATGTGGTTAGAGATGAGATCCTTTTCACTGATCCGGTCGCTTTGCTTGTTTGCCTAAGACATTGAAATGAGACTGGCGATGATGTCCTCCTGATCGATCTGGTCGCTTTGCTCATTTACCTAAGACATTGAAACGAGGTTGGAGATGAGGTCCTCCTGCCTGATCCGGTGGCTTTGCTACGTCGGTCAGTTTTGCTTGGTGACAAAGATTTAACTCTTCTCGTTGTGAGAATAGTCCAGGCTAGTATGTTAGTGATTGCATGGGGTTTGACTAAGAACAACTTGGAAAGAAAATTAACTAAGTAAGATACATGACGCATGTTTTTGTGATCAGGACAAACAAAAAATGAAAACTTTGGATGAACAAACCTTGTTTTGAATTCGCTGAATGTTTTGTGGAGATGACATGCTTGGTGGCATTGACTTATCTTTTGTTCAGGCTGTATCTGTTTTTTGTATAGTAGGGTAGTCTGTTAGTGCTCGTCTTGTGCTTAAGTGATAGGCAGATAGATTTCCTTTTTTGTTTTCGCATTTGTCTTTTCATGCGTGGTTATTTTTGGTAGGACATTGACTAGCCTTTCAGTTAGTAGAAGTTATGAGAGCCTCTTTTTCTTAGGGGACGTGCTGTCAAAATTTCTGCTAAATATTCAAAGTTAGTCAAGTTTCATAGATGTCAGCTATGATAAAATATAGTTTAGTCTTTGGGGTCAGTAGAAATTCTAGAAGCCTTCGTTTCTAAAGGAAGTGCTGCCGAAATTTCTATTGAAACCAAAGAGTTAGTTTATTTTAGTTTATTTTCAAATATTTTCATAGTCACGAGTTTTTCTTTTTATATTTGGTATAGTAAATATTCTTAGAGCACACTTCCCTAAAGGAAGTGTTGCCGTAATTTCAGGATTTTCAGGTCGTTGTCGGACGCTACTGCGAAGTAGCTTAGAATGTGATGCGGAGTTGAACTCCGTTAACTCGACAGACGATGTCTGCCTTGATTTTGTGACGCAGGTCATTGCTACCTGCGAGTGTTCTTCGGAGTCTTAAGCTTCATCAACTACTGCTATCAGATTGATAGCAGGTTGGTTTGCGACTCAACTCCTACCCACCTTGATACTCACGTCCAAATGTCTGTGACCCTGTAGGCGAAAGACATTTCCGTGTGAAAAAAATTTCATCCTCGGAACTTCTCTTAAATGGTCATACGAAAGTTGTGTGAATCGAGATGAGCGGGTATGCTTTTGTTGAGTGGGGGACGAAAAGCGGCGTGTGGGACATAGACCTGGGAACAAAAGAGTTGACCATGTTTGTGACATTTGCATGTGAATTTTCGTTGGGTTTTATGTGCGTGCAGGTATGTATAGGAGCGAGGACGCGCTGTCGTGTGCTTCGGTCCGGCACCACTCAGAGGTAGCGCGGGACCCTCCCGACCGTGTCACGCAGGAGTCAGGGTACAACCCTTGTTGCGATACGTTCATGGAGCTTCCGTAAGCCGCTCCGGCCGGGTGCGCCAGCCATACCTCTCGCGAGCCCCTACGACAGGACAGGGCCTATGCGAGGCACGACTACCTCCACCTTATGGGAACTGTCACCT